TTTTCTTGTTTTAGGAATTTTGACTAAAAATGTAAAAAAAAAAGAAATGACACACATTTTAAACTGATAAAAACAATGATCAGAAACATAAATATTTAACTGATACAATGACCAGAACTATGATTTTTTTTATATCCTGTATTTTTTCGATACTAGCATATTGTATTGACTGCATTTGAATTTTATATAATAATAATCTTTATTATAATCATAAAGAGATTACAACTTTTCTTTGGTTTGTAAATACTGTTACTAAAAATGCATAAGTGACTTTATTTTGTACCTTGTAAGTTCATTGTATAAACAAATATAGTTCCAAAAAAGATAAAAATACTTATATTACACATAGTACACCAGAAATAAGGGTACGAGTAACAAATTGTGAATGTTTTTTAAGAGTTTTTTAATCTCTCTATACAATTTAACATGATAGACCAAAAATGGTCTAATTCCGTAACATTTACATCTTAATAAAAATATGTAGAAGCTTTGCTTATTGGGACAAGCATTTTTATCTTCAATTAAATTAACACTGAATACGTTAAAGCGAGAGGGTCGTCACCTGTGCACGCACGGGAATAGAGTTCCAAGCGACACGCTAAGACGCTACGGCCACCTGACACATGCATAGATGATGACTCCATCACATTAAATCTAAGTAAACAAGTGTGTGTGATTCAAACCAATGCTCGCGTACAGTACCAATTCGCCTAGCTACATGTCATAGACGAACAGAGAAATAGATGACTGAGTGGAACTGTGCCGAAAAAGCAGAGCAGAAAAATTATTTGTTTATTATGGTTTTAAATTATAGAAGTCGTGTAGAATGGCTAGTTCATCAGCTTTCATGTGTCTTCGTCAGTGCTTTGTTGTGAATAATGCAACTTTTAGACGCCTTACGTATTTAGTTCCCTATTTTAAAAGCATCTCTTTTAGAAAGTAGAAATGCTATTGTTAACTCCACGTTCAAAACAGTACAGGAACTTCAACACGGTTGAAGGTTGTCTTTGTTGGCAATCGGTTTCTATTTGTTCACAAGAAAAATACCATTTACAGATTATTCTACATCATTTTGAAAGGCACCCAAAGAAAATAGAATTTAGTGGTTAACCATTAGAAACTCTGGATGGCGGCGGTGGGGGGGGGGGGTAAAAACAAATGTGCAAATTCAACAAATTTTCTCTATCGACAAGATTGCTGTATTTTCTGTTTACTTTCCTGCAATAAATGTGAAATTTGTTTTGTAAAAATATTTACTGTAAAGAGTTTTTTTTCTGATTTTCCATGTAAATACCCCCCTGAGTTTCAAATGGTCAATCCCTTATAATCAACACTACTAAATGGAGTGTTATAAGAAATCTGGGTGGTCATTTCATGGTCACTGTTATTATGATAATTTTTCAACCATGAGGAGGTCACTGAACAAGGTAATTTATTTCGTGGCTAAGGGGTAGAACATTACTGTATTGAAAAATAAAACCTAAAAATATAAAGGAAAAACAATTTAATTTGTCAATTACACACGTTTTCTAAGAGAACAGAAAAGACTAATTTTGAGACACCTAGGGAGCCAGCATGTCATAATTACTACACTGGAGTAAATAAGTACATAGCATGGTGTCAAATGATCAATTAATATGGAACAGATGCATCAATCAAATTTTAATTATGGAAATACAAATAAATTGTCAAAAACATTATATACATGTAATGGATATAAAGTACGGATGTAATGTACATCTCACATTTGTGACCATGAAACAAATCATGAACTTTAAAGAAAGAATGACAATTGCGTTCATTATAGAAAGGTCACACCTTTAAATTTAAATTGACAATTTTATCATTCTATTCAGACTATTCAAACTCCCACATAAACAATTCTATATAACTTCCGTCTGACAAATACGTCAAAGCCACAAACAAATTCTTCAAAAATATATTTAAAATACTCGTATGCATGCAAATGTAAATGAATCTTGAACATAAACCCCCCCCCCCCCACACACACACACTCTCCCTGTAACCCCCTACTGATCTATGACAATGAAGTTTGTTCCCAGCTGTGTTGAATATTAAACTTCTTGGTTAGTGCATGGTTACTATAGTAACTGTGGTGAGTAGAAATGTCAAAATGTCACAACTTGTGCAAACACTATTTCCGGTCGTCTTGTCTAACAAGTATAATAAATCTTTCTACCTATACTACAATGCATGTGTATTTAGATGAGATAGCTTTCATTGAAAAAAAAATACAAAAATAATGAAAACAATTTGTATTTTAATAATATTATTAACAAATTATAAGTGATTATTTAAAAAAAAAATATATATATCTATTTATGCTCCCCTCTGTTAAAAAAAAAACATAAAGAAAATATTAGTTCAGTTGTTGATTAGGTATTATCATTTTTCCTGCCAAAATTTTGTAATTTTTATATAATTTTCTATAATTTCCATGTTAATAATTTAGTTTTGAATATAATATCCCATTGGCAACAGATCTTAATATTTTTGACTAAAATATGGAAAACATTTTGTGGATTTATTTTGTGAAAGTTGACTTTGATGTTGAAGTAATTTGTTGGATCAGATTACTTTCTCTAGATTCTAGGATTTGGTCCAGATTTGCATTCACTCTTTAATTTATTGTAGTGTTTGTATTTGAACTTAAGCATTTAGGGGAAATTATTCAACAGATTTATTGTTCTAATTATTTAATTAACTAACTACTGGTAAGTAGTTTTGTCCACGGTTTAAGTAACTGTGGTTTGTTCAATATATTAGTGTCTCAGAATAATACTTTCAATCAAAAGTTTTCTAAGAATGTACAGAAATATGACTGGAATGTGCAAGCATAAAAAGTGTACTATTGATAAAAAGTACAGTGTATCGAGATTACTTGGAAGACCGACAATCGATGTGCCGGCTTGTCATTAATCATAATTACTATGAGTAAGGCATTATTGAATGTGCGTTTAAATTCAGATGTACGTTTGTGCAACAGCTGACAGGGCGTACGTGAATTTAGCGAGGTGGAATCGTTGGACGATTTGACTGGAGGCCCGCAAGGGGACTGGGGTCACCCACGGATTACAAAACAGCTGATCGAGGCACTAAAGTTTTAACATGAGAACTTATGTGACTAAAAGTCGATCGACGGCTACTCGTCAAAACATAAAAGTAATCGGTCGCGTTGAAATGCACCGTTGTGAATAAATGTTTGTTCAAGTGACTAGAAGAGTAAATCCTGCCACTCCTATAGCGCCAGGCCAACATAATTTAGCCTGGTAGAGTTAGTTTACCCGTCCCATACCCCAAACTATCACGGCCACATGGTCTATCAGCTTCGAATAGACAGACCATGCATTTCTGGACTCTTCAAATATCAAATTTGTTGTTGACACTGTTATTTTAAGGAACACACCAATTGTCAATATGACAACAAATGATCAAACTTTTAGGTCACTGACTTACCCGAGAAATCGACAGAGGTTGGTTGAAATCTACTCCTCCAGCTAAACGGAAGCCCCAAGGACCTGGGTAGTGCAGCGTAACATTGAACACATGCTCCGACATACTGGCCTCCGATATTTAGGCGCAATATCCTCAAAATTGTGGCAAAACTATAAAGTATTTACTGGAATTCCATACGAAATGACATAGGTTAACAAGCACCCCCAGCCTGGTAAGCTTTCCCACATTACAGAAGCGTTTTGCACACGGCACTAAACGGTGACATAGCAAGGAGCTATATTAGGAAAGCGCAGAGAATACGAATGAAACACATGTCAAAAACATTTTAAAACTTTGCATTGATGACTCAGACTGAACTTGATAATTTATTATTTCGAGATCACCGTTCGTTTTTTTTTGGGTGGTTTATATTTTGGAAACTTTACTGTCGATTTGGTTCCTATAACACCAAACAATTCTCGTCATAAATTGTAATGACGGATATTTTGCGCCAGGCATGATGTTACTTTTTGTGTTCTCGGATTATTTAATTTAAAAAACTGAAACATGTAAAGGTTTATCATTTCATGCTATGGCAATTATCCACAATTTTTTGCATAATATTTAGGATATTTTTTTCAAAACATTGTTTTGTGCCATGACAGTCCCAATCCCACAGAAAGGGACTTGGCTGTGTGCCTTACCGTGGACTGTTCATTAAATTTGCTTTCCCCCTTTGTATGATATGTAGAAAACTACTCACTGACCCCTGTAATGGCTTTGGTTTGTGTACAGTACGTAAAAATCGAAGAACACGAAATTTAGTTTAAGTCACCACTAAATTTGGTGATTACAACTAAATGCGAATTACGCCTGATTCAGATCTCCCATACTTCAGGGTTTACAAAGTGGAAATGCGACTTCAATACGTGCGTCTCAAACGTATTTCAGAATGTTGTATACGTTGCATGGAACCCGTGTTTAGAGCTGTATCGAGTGCTACGTATGAAATGGTTTGGCACAAGTTGATCGGAGACGACAGTTTACTAGTTACTTTATCTTTAATTGATAATGTGTAACAACCTTCGGAAAAATTGACAAGCGTTACAAAAATAAGAAAGTACAAATATCTCCAGATTCAATAAAATGAACATATTTAGGTAGGTACTGTAAAAGAATTAAATTATTCATTGGGTTTTAATTTTGCTAATTTCGCTGACTGGAAAATGCGCTAAATTAAAACCCATTGAATATGTATAATTTAGCATAGAACACATTATCTAAATGATAAAACCGTGAATTTAAAACCCACTGAATATGCCTGAAATGCTATTTCAGTGAAATTTAAACCCAGTGAAAATTAGTCATTTTACAGTAAGTGTTGTTTCAAAACAAGTGGTGTTCTTTAAATACTTGATCGGAGAAATTCTTATTTTTCATAATAAAAGTAGATTTGCTATTTTTATCCTTCGCTAAGAAATTATTTACATGTATCTCGGCTTCAATAATAACAGATTTCTTTGTTGCTGGAATTGTTTACAGGATATCACAAATTGTGGATTCGCAAATTAGCATAATTTCGAGTCTTTCGTCAACAGGAACAGGTAATTTTTTGTATGTTCTGAGTTTATTGTTTAGCATTATTTGATATGTTGTCATTATCTAAATTCTTTTTGATATATTGGTTCTGAATAACTGTTTCAATTTATCACTCGGTGTATTTGTACTTGATGTTTTATATAAATTGTTTAACATTTTAACATTTTTCAAAATTTCTGATGTTTTTACAAACCAGTTGCTTTTAACAATTTTTGTTTTCCTGAAATGCTACGTTTAGAAGATTTTTTTTAATTGACCAGTTTATTCTGCTTGTGTTTTGTAACAGTCCATATGGTGTATTTCAAGTTTATGCCACACACTGAGATCAATATATCATGCATATGTTTTATTTATTTTAATTGTTTGTGTTTATGTGCATATTTAGTAATCATTGTTTTAAGAATAAACGAGTTATCAGATGTTCGACTGTCACTTAGATAGATTATTACATTCCTAAAGGTAAGTAACCAGTCGTGTGTTTCAAATGCTGGTAAATAATTTTCCAAGGAGACTGTAATTGTAATGCCTCTGTAATTGACAAGGTTTGGTTTGACAAATCTCTTGTTCTCTTTGACATTATTTCACGAAAAGTTATAATTCGCATTACATTTTAGACCCTATTAAATTGCTATAGAGTCTGATGTATTTGTTTTGCGTTTTGAAAGACTGATCAGAATGTAAAATTTAGCACAAAGTCTGGTGAAAGACAATTGATAGAGATCTTCATGGTAAAAATGTTGTCCATTACTTCAAACGTCAAGATAAGTAGTCACCCTCCAGCAGCTAGGATGTAGATTTCATTGTTTCATCCAACCAAGACAGTGAAGACACGTCCAGGCTTGCTGTTGACAAACAATCAATACTACATCAAATCATTAAGTAATCTTAGTGCCACGGCCATGGAGAAACCCAGAGGAAAAGTTTTCCCAGAATGCACGAAGAATATTCACAGTTAGTTGCAAACTTTCAACAAACATTATCTGTTAATACAACCCACACAGGATTGTAGGTAATCACAAACAATTTGCCACTTTTATTCAAAATCTGTTTTTCCTCGATAAGTTATTTACTTCGATGGTCAATCTAATCAAAACTAAAACAAAAGTTGGGAAAAGAAATTTTAAAGTTGAATGGGGTATAGAATGGTTCGATATTTTTATATTGACTACCAAATTGGTCATAAGATTATGTAATGTTTTGTTAATGACCAGTTCGTGATACCAGATTACCGTAATTGCCTTAGGTTTGCCTATTAAGTTCACCATGTAACAAGTAAAGGAATTTTCGCACGTTGGACAAATTCAACAACTGACCTTTAGATATGTTTAACGTCGTCATGATCCTTTATGAGTTTGTTTGTTGGTCGACCTTATCACTGCGATGGCAGATTCTTCGAGTAAATGTCAAAAATATCAGCGATCCCGTAAAATAGTAATGTTCTCCACTCTCTAGGCATGTGTGGCTACGCTTTCACGATACTACTAGGAAGCGATTTGTTGATTGGTATGTTGCGCCCTCAATCGACCGGTACGTTACACGTCTGGTGAAGTCAGCAAAAACTGAATTGAAATTTGCTTTCTGGGCACGTCCATATCCTATCATATCATACAAAAACACTTTTATCGTCCCAGTGTAGCCTACAGCTAAAACATACCAAGTTAAGATCAATTGTATAATTAAAAAAAAAAACGTTCAGCAACTATTTTTGAGTTCGTATTAGTACCCAGGATGTAATGAAATTAAGTAATATCGTAGTCGCCTTTACATGACGTATATTTCCGAACCACTAGCGTGGTCAGTGGGCGTGGTGCAAGTATTTTAGAAGGCGGATGACTGGAAAGGGCACTGGAAGCAAAAAAAAATAAACACTACGCACACTGTTGAAATGTATTCTCCACCTATTTACAAAGCTTTGTGTGGAGGCTTTTGTTATCATTCTTCGCTGGCATACCTCAAAATTGTTTTCGATTGCATAAGACGTCGGCCACACCATAACAACAAGCAGAATCACTATACAAAATTGTTGAGTGTATGGATGGGAAACAACACAGAAAAGAATGTCAGACTGCAATGACCTAATCGTGTCTGTATGTACCAGTGTTATACACGGGTACCGTATCAGCTGGTGTGGGGGATGAAACTCATTCAACATGAAATGTTCGTTAAAACATGTAACTAATTATTTTTCACAAACAGCTGTTATTCACATCTAAACATTTTAATCCCCATTTAGGCATTATCCTGGGAAGAAAACTGTTAGAAATTTTATTATCATTTTTTCAGAGTCACATCCAACAAATTAAACGAATTGGCATAATAAAAGAAACAGATAGCTCACAGGCAATGTAGCCTTGCTAATGGCCACTTCGAAGGATGCTTAGCCGGAATGAATTTATGTTTGAATGTTGTCGTCATGGCGTCCGAATCCCCCATACTGGGTCAAAATTAACCCAGTCGAGAGGTCCTCTGCAAATATTTGTTTTCATTGTACATAAGTTTATAAACAAACGTGTTTTACGTGGAGTAGATTTGTACCTATCACACTGTGTCAAGTCATGAATAATAATGAGTTTGATGACCTCCCCACCCCTTTTGCAGACATGTCCCACTTGGAGGGCATCAATAACAGATCCTGGCATTTGAAGGGAATATTGGTAACCATGGCAACGCACCTCCCACTTTCAAAAAATTTGTCGACATTCGGCTTTATTAGAATATAATTACTATTGTTGAAATGATTGAAGAGTGCGTTCGAGAAATACTCGCATCCACGCACGGATTAACATCGTGTTGTTTTTAGCGCCAGACAGACACTTCCGAAAATATCTCGTAAGCTCTACTCAACCGCGCATGTGCAATTAATCGACCTTACAAGAACAACGTATCTCGGCGACCGGCTTAGAACTTGCTTTAATTTGACTGAAATTACCCTATATATTGGACTACTAATTACGACACAACCACTTCCGTCTGTTCAACATAGTTTGGTTCGTCGGCAGAGAAGATAACTTTCAGAGAAAAATGCAGTATAAGGCTCATCTCGTAGGCCCAGGACCTTGGGGCTTTCGGCTGACGGGAGGCAAGGAAAACAACCAACCTCTGATCATATCTCGGGTAAGCTGCGTCTAAATAACTTTCGCTTCGCAATCGTTATGTGCAAAGTTACGTGGGTTGACAGGTTAGCGAACCGTGTATATCGTTCTTATAACGGAGGATTTCAATCTCATTTGCATATACCTGTAAAGAATTTGCACACGATACTTACCTATGGCAACTACAAGCCAATTATAGCCTGTCAGCTGTCGGGACAAACTTATGGAACATTATAGTCGATAATGGCGGGGTATAAAAATTGTGCAAAAAATCGCTGAAAATTGCGAAGTTTATTATTTTCTACGTGCGCAGACCAGAAATTCCATCCGCATTCCAACATGGCGTGAATATAATTGCGCGGTTATGTATAGGGTTGGTGATCACATCGCATCGTCTTACTTCAAGAAAAAACAACAACAAAAACGTCCGACTAGGGACTGAAATCTGGCATTTTTGTGACACAAACGTAAATTTCTATTTTTCTCCTACTTAAACATCATAAATAACACGGCAAGATCATAAAAACGAGAAATGGTCCCAACGCATTTCTTACGACTCGTCTTCAATTACATTCGCCATCTGCTGAACAACTTGGAGTTTTACTCAGGTCAGAGGTCAAATGAAATGCCTCCATGTATTTTTACCGCAATATAAAAATAAATACACTCATTTGCTCTAGCGTTGTGACGTAGCTTTGAGGTGCATGGTTATCATGGGGGTAATCGTATTTCACATGTTTTGGTTAATCATCAACCGAATTGTGGAGTGAGCGTTGAGTCTATGATGCATTTTCAAAGTTCTTAAGGTATAAGTTTACACAAGGTTCAGTTGGCCGTGATAGAGCAGTACGTGGTAAGAAAATGAAGTGCATGATACGAACATGACCTTTCATTTGGCATTCTCGTAAAATCCCGCCGACAGCGCTACATATTAAATTGACAAGCGATGAAAGATGTCGATGTGAACTGGAATTAGACAGCCCTAATCGGATTGCTGCTCTTTGTTCAATATATGTTAAAACGTCGTTTTCTTGTCGTATTTCTCCCTCAAAAATCACCCGACACGAATCTTGATATGCAATTGGTAATGTATTAAATCTAGCGATAGACGATACAAAATCTGAGATTTTCCATTTTTTTTTAAATTTAACAAATCTCGTGTGTCACACGCAGTACCGACTGGTCGTACCACACTCAAGCTTCGCGTACGTCTTGCTATACTCAAAGAGAGCGCTGGCTGTATATCTGTTTGACGTCACGTACGTAATATATAGAGAACAGCAAGCAGGTGGGGACTCTTGTAACTTCTCAGTAACTCAATACTTATGATGATAGAAACTTATACCGTGGGCCATGGAGCAACATCCGGGTCCCTCACACGTTCTAGAGAAATCATTATTTCAAGTTGGGTCAGTGCCCTTTATACATTTCAACAGCCTGAGACTCGGACAAACAACGCTGACGGGACGTTTAAAGTCAACATACACACGTTGTCACATACAGGAAGTACCCTACTTAATCGTTGGTAGATTCATGTCAAAGGTCACCCATCGGATACATTTTTCAAAAAAGAAGAAAACAACCAATGTACATAAATTGCATTCTTTGTTTCCAATGGTGATATAAGCTGGGGTTAAATTCACATATCAATTATGACTGATGTCACATGTTTCAATCAGAATAATGCTGTCGGCATTCACCTTTATGTACACGTGCTGCATGTACCAAAACAATACTTTTACAATTGGCATTTGGCTAGCGTGGTTTTCCCACGACACAACAAATAAAATTAAATTAATACGAATTCCCCAAAACCTTTTAACATATTAGTGACATATCAAATAATTGTGAGTTTATCACCTGACACGCTACTGACATACAATACATTCTCCAAAAAACAAAAGAAACAAGCACTTGACACTCTCAACTTAATTTACATAAGGATTCCCTTTATAAGGAGTGACAATCTCATTCATAGGGGTCGAATCTTATCTACATTAAGTCCACGTCGGTAGGCGCAACAACAACCAACTACCAGAGAGTCAACCCGCTTCCATAACTTAGGTAGTCAGTAGATCTCAGTATTGTATAAGTATTCTAGTTGCAATAGACCAAGTGCGAAACCAGCAACAACGTGTCTCGTATCGAAGCCTTGTGTAAATGTGTATATATGCGTACTGACCTCACGACACATGCGCCGTGACCCCGGTACTCAAGCAGCCAAGTCGAGTGAGTGATTCCCCTTCATCCTCAACCCCGGTGACTTCAGATCCCCTGGCCGCCGATCAATCATATCCACCCTCCCCTCGACTGAACCCTTCGAAAAGAGTATTACATAGGAAACACATGCAACATGCGATTATGTATTCTATAATGGAATACCAACAGTCACTGGGGTATACTAGACAGCTCAAGTTAAATCATTTCGATAAGAAGTTGTATCCTATTTTATCTACCGTTTTGATAACCGATTCCGGTGTGTAACGCTGGTAACAAATTATGAAAATCACTATGACAACGACATTCATTGTACTTTGGTCAAATGGTAGGATGGAGGTCTACAAAAGAAACTGCCACAGTTTGGCGTATGCAATTCGCTAATAATTGGCGACTATTCCCAATAAATAATATCAATGGAATATTGCGGTGGTCGTCGCGCTATCACATTCGAGTTCTGTTTAAAAATATAAACCACGTAAAAAGCAAGACGTTCTGTTCGTATCGCGCACGATCTATATTTGCTTTCGACGAGGTTGTCTACAAATAATCGATATCCCACGGGAGCCGATACTGTTCAAGTCTGCTTGGCATTTGTTCCTACTTGGCATATTTTTCTCAAGTGTTCATTCGTTCTCACTCTACTCAAAAGAGCTACAACTCACGAAGGCATGCACTTTCACGCGGTCAGAAGTAGGGCGTACAAACACGCATGTTCAGCCAGGAACACAGCACGAATAAATCGAAAATTTGACTGCCTGGGTATTCAGAAATACCATTGTGTAATTTGTTAATCATGAAGCTGAGAAAATACTTCAATGATTCAATTATTCACGTCCATGCAATCATGTAGTAGTATTTGGTGAAGGCATCTCACTGGGGATTGCAAGATTTAGGGCATCTGCTTTCGAAAGAAAATTTAGCTATGCAAGCTGCGGCGCTTGGAGTCACCAAATCAGACAACATAGCCGGCGCACTCGAACAGAATTGCATAACATGGCGCATTTTGTTTTCGTTCGCGTGAAAATTGGCCGACAGCCAATGCCACCCGAGAATTACAAAACAGCCAATGATCTAACTGTTCTAAAGTTCAAGTTTATTTGCATGAAACTTTCAGATATTATAGTCATAGTTACGTTAGCGAGAAGTTCGTCTAAGTCTTGTTGTATGTACCAGGTGCAGCCAGTGGAGCTGTTCATCGGAAAAGCTGTTCCAAGGGATTTTTGTTGACGGCAGGGTATTTTTTCTATATTTTGTAGGGGCGGGAAATATCAGTACCCCCATTGGGCAGGACAGATTTCTAAAAAAAATGCAAGGACAGGTAAACTTTTTTTAGTGGGTTCACATAAAAAAATATCGCAGGGTGGGCAAAACAGCCTTTAAGACAGGGTATAATAAAAAACTCATTGGGTGAAATAAGATCTGCTAAATTTGGGCAGCCGTGTGCTTTCAATAACTGAAAATGCGAGTCATCCAATGATCTGCTGAGTGGTTAATGTATTCAAGAATCCTATAGAGGTCAACAGGAGGGCAAGTCGGCAGGAGGGGAGTAGGCAAAAATGTGTTTTTTGTAATGAGGGGAGGGGAAAGATGAATTTGATCAGCAGTAGGGGAAGACAATTTTTTTTTCAGGTGGAGGGTAGCTTAAGAACAGCTTGTAATTTCCTTTCCTTCCTTTATATTAATTAGCATACTTCAAAAGGCCCATAAAATAAATTATTCCCCAGAAAATTGACTATCTCAATTTATTGCTCGTTGGCTGCACCTGATGTACTATCACACTGTAGAGATCAGGGGCATGCTTCTCGTGCGTGTTTGGTCACGTGCATATGTTTCAGCGCCGCATAACGATAGTAGCATTCATGCTAAAACTCATTATGATTTTGGTAATAATCAAAAGCTGTGTTTAGAGTCTATGCAATGACGTGGAACAATATAAAAGATTTTTTTTTTGTCTAGAAAATCTGTTCAATATCATGCAATTTGTGGCGATTATAACCACAAGTTACGTCATAAGCTAGTTCATAGGTTCGTTGTTAGGACCGTAGTTGTAGTAGTAAAAGCAATGAAGGTCACAATTTTAATAGTATTATACTTTACAGAAGGATGCCCCACCGTAACAGTAAGTGGGACTATAAATAATATAGCTTCCGATTGAACTATGACGTCATGATGGCGGGTCTGTGAGAGCCGTTCACGCACAGGCCTAAAAACTGACAAATATCACATCCGGGTATTTCTGGAGTTATTAATTTCCCACAGACATACTTCATTATTACGATAAATGGCGTCGCATATGTAAATGAAATAAAATAAAAAAGAATTTTCTCGATTGGCCAACCACAAGCCATTATCTAGTATGTTTTCAGAAAGTGTCATGACAACGAGCGTTTTTAGTAGTAACTTAAGCAGATTAATTTAAAGTGAACTTTTTGAGTCCCACTAATTAGTTTAGCACTGATGAAGTAAAAACTAATGATATTTACTACCCGGGAAATATGTTCGTCGGTTTTAGCCATGATGCCGTGCATGGGAATAGTTGGAGACTATAACTGTTTCCGGTTTCCGGTTATAAGACATTCGAAATTCACAGCCGATTTCCTGCCTTTAAACGCTTCTTATGCGCTAATGTGAAAACTTCGAAAGCTGGGCTAGTTTACTCATAGAGTCAACGAGAATAATAATAATACAAGCACAGTATCCCCGGGGAAAGTTGTTTTTAAATCGAGGGAATTGCATTCATGACCTGTGGCCTCGCACGTGATAGCATTTCTCAGTGTGATGTAAAACGTCAAGGTCCATGTCAGTTTTGTATTTAGAAATCCAAAATAGCAACAACATCAACAAACATGGACTAGCTTCCAACTTGAGGATTGCTTATATATGCATATTTAATTTTCCCACAAATCACACGATTTAGTGCTACCAAGTTACTTATATAACACTTTCTGTCAAATTGAAACCATCTATAGTAAATTTGAAGATAACAATAACATGAACGTGAAACATTTTTTGAGATTGTTTTTCTTGGTTGAATTTCTGGTCTGGAATTTAAATATCACTACCCGTGGTTTCCGCAGTATGTATTTCACTTGTAGTAGAAATATTAATCAATCATTAAAGGAGTTAAATAACGACCAATAATTCATCTCTCGTAATGCCATCGTAAATGTATGAACTTTGTATTTAAACTGTACTACTCAGACTACGTCTTATTTATGAGTGGTGCGATATGGAATGTTAGGGAGTACGCGCCTGTCGTGGTTATTGAAAACGGGCGCGAACTCTAACACTTCCAGTCTAGGGAAATGTTGATATTATCGAAATATGCACACACGCATGCACGGCACGGTTATCAAGTTCAGTTCTTGACCCAGTTTCTATACAGCCGCAGTTTTTCGGTAATTACCAACCATATTACAATAATATGACACCGGCGAACTTACCAGGGAAGTATAATCTGTAACTGTGTTTGCTACAGTTTTAGCAGCTTTGAATGGCTCATATTATTATAGCCAAGGAGTTACAGGACGTTATACATAGTAAACACTAATACAAGTATATCACTTAAAATAACACTTGTTGATACATATACACTAATGCATCGTCTATCTATATATCGACTTTCCCACCCTAGTATGTGAATATAACTTTATCACACATGATAGTATATTACAGATGACATGTAGCAAAAGTCATCTTCAAAATGGCGCCTTATGAATTGGAATATAACATATATACGTATATCAGTTGAAATATTGACTCTCATTCTAGTTCAGTGGATTACAATTAACATATCATTGATGCTCCTTTAGATCGCTTATTATATTATAAGATATAGAAATGGCGTGAATATCCAGCTCCCAAGGAGGAGTGGCGGACTGTGTGTTTACTCTACGTAAGGATATGTAGTTCTTCGGCCGTAACCCTAGGCGAATAATATATAACCGTCAATATTAGTTCGATGCATAAAAAATAATGCACGATAAACCAATCGGAAGTGCTAAAATTGTAACAAACAAGTTGACCATTTACTTGAAACACGACAGTTTTCTAAATTTTCCAATTGAATATTGGACCACCCATTGGACCAATTGTCGATGTCATACCACGAATCAACGTTTATTGCATGCAAAATGGCATTCCTGCATTTTTCGGAAGTCAAATGCCATGTTCGTTCTTCAAGAGATTGACATACTCGCAAAGTTCAAAATTATCTAGCGTTGCGTGAACGCAGCCACACATTCTAAACAAATATTTCTAAAACCGACTGTGTAAAAAAAA